CTGCTCTATCCCATGCATAATCTTATAAACCTCGATCATGTCACCTCTCAGTCGTCGTTTCTCCAAGCTAAAGAGCCCTAAGCGCTTTAACCTTTCCTCATAGGCAAAACGTTCCAACCCTTTTATCATTCGAGTTGCCCTTTTCTGCACTTTTTCCAAAGCTATAATATCCTTTTTAAGCTGTGGTGACCAGAACTGCACACAGTATTCCAAATGAGGTCGCACCATTGATTTATATAGGGGCATTATGAGATTGGCTGATCTGTTTTCAATACCCTTCCTAATAATCCCCAGCATAGCATTGGCCTTCTTTATTGCAGTCACACACTGTCTCGACATTTTCAGTGAGTTATCTACTACAACTCCAAGATCTCTCTCTTGATCAGTCTCTGCCAGTTCAGACCCCATCAACGTGTATTTATATTTAGGATTTTTAGCTCCAATGTGCATCACCTTGGACTTGGCCACACTGAACCCCATTTGCCATACTTGCCCATCCTTGACAGATCCCTTTGGAGTGCCTCACAATCCTCACTGGTTTTTACACCACCCTGAACTTTCATTGTATCTGCAGAAGTGTGCTAGCGCACAAATGCTTATACCTTGAATAAAACTTTGTTCGTCTTAAAGGTGCCACTGGACTCAAACTTTGTTCTGCTTCTGGACATAGAGGTTTTATTTAGCTGTCACAACTAACCATCTAGATCAGGGGTGTCGAACTCATTTGTTAGGAGGGCCGGATCTGACATAAATGAGACATTGTTGGGCCGGGCCCTGTGTGTCATAAAATGTGATGCCCCATAGCAGAGATACACAAAAGGTTTTTTTAACAAAAAAACCTTAAAATAAAAACATGCTTAAAACATTAGCACTCTTGCAATATTCTGTTTATTTAACACTGTCTGATAACCGACACCTCTTGCTCTGAATTATCGCATCAAAATGTCTGTGCTGTTGCAATCTTGAGTATGCTGTTCAGGTGTGTATCTGTAAGCTGCAAACCTACGATGGCGCAGCAGCAGCAGAACTGGAAGAAGAAGCAGAAGACAGCCAGTTCCACTGTGGGCCTGAAAGAAGCCCTCTGGGGGCCTGATCCGGCCCCCGGGCCGCATGTTGGACACCCCTGATCTAGATAAATCTGTCCTCCATGAATTTGCCTTCCAAAAAGCCATCTATGCCAGCCATCTTGTGGCAGTGAGTTCCCAAAATATATCGTGCATTGCATGAAGTGCATCCTTTGGTCTCTCTCTCGAGCTGCCCACCCCCACCCCCACAGCTAGATTTTATACACCCATACAAGAAACAACCATAGGAACTTTTCTGGCATCAAGGGGAAAAAAGAAACGCAGGAACCATCTGTGTTAAGTTGGAACAAAGTGCTTTTAGTATTGTGGAGGCACAAAGGCAAAATCATTCCCTGCCCATTCTCTTCCTGAATCCTTCAGAGTCTGCTTCCATCCACAAGGGCTTGATTCAAACCCTTGTCCAGAAATCTGGTGTGAGACCAACAGCAGCCCAGCCACACCACCCGATTTCTGCTTTTTCAAGAGAAACCACCAACTATCCCAGACACACTTTGGAGGAAACATCAGACACAACACAGAATCCCACGAGGTTGCTTCCTACTGAGTCAGGCCCTTGGTCTATCAAGGTCAGTATTGGCTACTCGGACTGGCAGCCGCTCTCTAGTGTATCCCTCAGAGGCCTTTCCCATCACTTCCGATCAGATCCTTATAGATGCCGGGGATCAAACCTGGAATTTTCTGCATGCAAAGTAGATGTTCTGCCTCTGAGCTACAGCCCCTTCCAAGGATTAGAAGTTCAGCACAGCTAGAAAACATGGCCAACCGAGGGACTAAAATAGTAGAGCACCAAACCAGACACGAAGTCTGCAGCGATATAAAGAAACTGTCCCTTCCCTTGGCCCCAGACTTGGCTGCAGGAGGCATTGTGGCTTTCTAGTGAGGGAAGAACTCCGGGGGGGGGGGGGGGGAAGCCCCACCGCTGTGGGGGGTCAAGCCCTCTGAGGAGGTATCTGTGTCTGAAATGGAGAGGGCGGAAGAAAGCCAGCTGGGGTGAGCCTGGGCTACAGAGAAGAAGAAGACGAAGAAGAGGAGGACGTTGGATTTATACCCCGCCCTTCACTCGGAGTCACAGAGCGGCTTACCAGGGCTTTTTTAGTAGGAAAAGCCCAGCAGGAACTCATTAGCATAATAGGCCACACCCAACAGCAGGAACTAATTAGCATATTAGGCCACACCCCTGACAGCACAGCTCATGAACACATTAGGCCACACCCCCATGTCACCAGAAGTGTGATCATCCAGCCACACCCACCTTTTGCCTCTTATTCTGTTCAACCTTGTTTGTTGTCAAAACCCAGGGCCTTTTTTTGGTAGCAAGAACCCCTTTGCATGTTAGGCCACACACCCCTAATGTAGCCAATCCTAATACATTTCTGCTGATGGGTGTGGCCTATTATGCTAATGAGTTCCTGCTGGGCGTGGCCAACTTGGGAGCCAGCTGGAACTCCGTTCCTGTGCGTTCCTGCCCAGAAATAGCCCTGCGGCTTACAAACCCCTTTCCCTTCCCCTCCCCACAACAGACACTCAGTTGTCAGCTAGGCCTCTAGCTGCCATGAGTGTGTGTGTGGGGGGGTGACTCTGGAATTTTAGCTTTCATTTCTGTTGTGTCTTCAGTGCTTTCCTTTTCTTATCTATGTAACCGGAGCCTGTAACCTTGAGTGCCTGGTATTGCTTTTTCTCCTGGGAATTAGGACTCGTTATTCTGGTGGGCCTTTACCTGATCTCTGATTGGCCCTAAGCCATCAGGAGACCCCCTTGAATATTGTATAACTGTTTGGTTCGCGTGCTTGGAGCCGGTTCTAACACAAATCGTTACGATATCTGCGTCCCTTTCCTGTCTCGATAAACTTTACTCCTTTGAATGAAAGCTGTTGAGAACTAATTGCTGCAAGAGTTTGACACCTGTGAGGCAGGTGGGGTTGAGAGAGCTCTTTCCAGAACTGCCTTTTCGAGGACAGCTCTTGTCAGAACTATGGCTTGCCTGAGATCATCCAGCAGCTGCAAGTGGAGGAGTGGGGGGAATCAAACCCGGTTCTCCCAGATTAGTGTCCAAACACTTAACCACTACACCAAACTGGCCCCATAAGATGGATCCCTCAGTTTCATCTCAGCCTCATGGGATCTCTCTCTCCCTTTTCAGTGATCCCATCTACCTCGTTGCTGGGCATGGTGACCTTAAACCGGGTCTCTCACCAGATTTAATCAAGTGCATTGGGTTCATGCCAGGTCAGAGTGGTGATAGCTCTGGTTCTTAGGGATATACAGCTTCATTCTGCCTCAATCTGAAGGGAGCACTTAAGAAAGCTGTCTCAGTTCTAGAGTTGCCAACCTTCAGGTGGGGCCTGGAGATCTCCTGGAATTAGAAATGACCTCTAGGCAACAGAGATAAGTTCCCCTGGAGAAAATGGCTGCTTTAGAAGGTGGACTCTATGGCATTATACTCCAGTGAGGCCCAGCCCCTCCCTAAACCCTGCCCTCCTCCGGCCACTCCCCCCAAATCTCTAAGTATTTCCTGATCCAGAGGTGGCAACCCTACAACCAGGCTCCACTCTTAAATCTTCAGGAATTTCCCAATCTGGATGAATTGTGAGAAATATTATGAAGGGGGTGGGGTACAGGGTTCAAAAGCCCTGGTCTTTCATCTGATGAGCAGAAGAGACTTACATACACAATGACATCTCGATTTTCATTCCTGCGGTGTTGGAAAGGTATGCAAGGGTAAGCATGTCTGCAAATGTTAAACATAGGTGCATGGGAGGAAAAAAGCGGATGAGGTCTGACAGGACTTTAAAAACAATTCCACCAATACTACCGTCATCAGTGCCTCTTCAGCGGGGGGGGGGCTTAAGAGCTGATGTAGCCAACTGAGTGAAGAAACCAGGCGGGGCACAGAACATCCAGCTGTTTGACCTTTATGAAGATGCAAGTTTCCCCACAATCACGGCTATAAGAGAAACTGCATTTGCAGAACATCTTCAGAGCTCACAAAAAAGTCGCATCTATCTCAAAGAGATTCCAAGCTCTCAATCCACCCAGCTTTCCTCCACAGCCTCATAGAGAGCTCTGTGCTTGCTAGAGGAGGCATTGACAAAGGTATTAGGAAATAAAGCTCACAACGCTCCTCTCTTCCCACTTTGGCGGCAATCCTAAGAATGCTTTTTCGGGAGTAAATCCCAATGGATAAAGTGGAACTTCTGAGCAGACCTACTTGGGATTGCTCCCTTGGTCTGTCTCCAAACAGCCTCTTTAATCATCATCATCATATGGCAGTGGGCGGAGTATAGCCAGGAGATCCAAAGACTGTCTGGTAGCCTGAAACTTTAGCTCTTTTTTTGTGGTAAAGTAGGCTTATTTTTTGGGCGGAGAGAACTGTGACTGACCCAAGGTGGCTGCATGTGGAGGAGCGGGGAATCAAACCAGGTTCTCCCAGATTAGAGTCCACCACTCTTCACCACCACACCAAACATGGTCTTGTGTTTCTGTGGGTGCACGCAGGTCACCGATTATTTGCATGGCAGGACTGCTCTGGAACTGCACCCCAGCGTGCTCCGGGAAAACCGGTTTGGAGAGCTCTTAGCCGAAGCCGGCTGGGCAAAAGGCGCGTTTGGCTGGTGCCTGTAATCTTAAGCATTCTCAAGTTCGAAAAAAGTGAACAGTGTTTCGGGCAGCCTGCCCAAATAGGGTTGCCAGGTGAGGCTGAGAAGCCGGAGGGGGGCTTTCCAGGAGACTCCGGGAGAGGGGAGCGAAGAAGCACAATTGAACTCCAAAGGGACTTCTGGCCGTCACATTTAAAGGGGCCACATTCCTTTTAAATGCCTTCCCTCCATTGGAAATAATGGAGGATGGCGACAACTCCTTTTGGGGTTCATAGAATTGGACCCCCTGGTCCAATCTTTTTTAAACTTGGGGGGTTTTTTTGAGGAGAGGCACCCGATCCTATGCTGAAAATTTGTTGCCTCTACCTCAAAAACACCCTCCCAGAGCCCTAGATACCCATGGATCAATTCTCCATTATACCCTATGGGGACCGATCTCCATAGGGTATAATGGAGCTCCCAGTGGTCATTCCCCACCCCTTCACTTTCTGATAATCCTGAAGCAGGGGAAGGGCCTCCAAACCAGGGGATCCCCTGCCCCCAACCGGAGGCTGGCAACCCTATGCCCAAAGGACAGGGGGAGGGGCAAGACAAAGGCCCGAATTGGCATTTGGATTCGTTTGCAGAGACAGCCGGGAGCCCGGACTGGGGAGAAAGTCTACACAGGCTCCAGTTTTCAACAGTACCTTTGTCCGCACCCTGTGGCTTCCTTCCTTCTCCCAAATTGGTTCTCCCTGTCTGGCACTGGCGTACACCACCTCCAGGAGACCAGGGAGCAGGCGGTTAGAGCGGCGACGGCCACTCCGTGCCTCGGGAACCACCTGTGGCTCTTCTGAGCCCCCCTCCCCAGTGTGGCATCTGACCCCGGTTTCAGGAAGGTGGTCGAGGGCCATGTCTGGCAGAGGATGGAATTGGCAGGTGGTTCCCACCTTGAAGCAGCCACGGCCAGTGGAGCGGGGAAGCTGCAAGCTTGCGTTACATGGAGCCTAATACCAGGGATGGAAGTCAACACGGCTCTTTCGGTGGACGGTAACCGCGGCCCTCCACGAGGGGCGCTGCCTCAGAGCGCCCCCTGCTGGATTTTGCCCAGCATTCTCTTGACCTCGTTCTCCACCCGCATGAACTTGACCTTCTTCCAGGGGTTGACGGTCTGACGGCGGCTGCTCTCCAGGTCCTTCAGGAGCAGGCCGAGGTGCTGCTGCACGCGTTCACGGTCCCAGACGGGCAAGTTCTTCTGGACCACGTTCAGAATGATGGACCAGTAGTCGGAGACGTCGGCCCCCACCGTCAGGAAGACGAGCACCTTGACGCCGTCGCGGTCTTTGCGCAGCCCGTGCAGGGCCTGCTTGCCTTCCTCGCTGATCTCGTTGAAGTACAAACTGGAGGGAGAGGCGGGGGAAGGAAGGGTAAAGCGGCAGTCGAGACCTTTGGGCCCAAGAAGCAAGAGGAGGCTGGGGATAAAATATCCCATAGGAGGAGCTATCGATATGGGATAGTAGTAGTGTTGCAAGGCTGTGCTTGGAGGATGCCAATATTGTATGCGCTGACATCACTTCTAAGTGACAACCTGGAAGTGACGTGGGGTAACTCTAGGGATCACTAGAAACACTATGGTAAAACCAGAGAGTTTCTGGCTATTCCTAGAGCTACCCTCCATCACTTCCGTGTTTTCCCTGGAAGTGACGTATCAGCACACACATCTTTTCCCCCATTCTGCCGCCACATGGCAGGCAACTGGGGCTGGGGAATTCCCACCCCAATTGGGGGACTGGCAAGCCTGGCACGTTACCATTGGCATCAGGCTCAGCTTTGGGAGTGAGTCTTTGTGGTTTGCCCAGTTCTGTGGCAGATTTGCTTGTTTCTTTACCGTTAGAACGCTGAAGTCCCTCAAACTCAGTACTGTCTATTCAGGGTTGCCAACCTCCAGGTGGTTGAACAAACAAGAATGAGGAGGGATCTTAGGCAAAAACCCCCAAGAATAAATCCCCCAGAGGAAAAAAACCCACCAGTCATTAATGCATGAAACTACAGTCTAATTGAAATAAAGGATCGTAACAATCACATGTAAATGAGCATGAATATTCTAAAACACTGCAAAGACCCCACAAGAAATTACAAGTATATTTAACACAATATGAACTACAAACTCCATAGAGCAGGGGTGTCGAACTCATTTGCTATGAGGGCCGGATCTGACATAAATGAGACCTCGTTGGGCCGGACCGTGTGTGTCATAAAATGTAATGCCAGGTAGCGGAGATATAAACGTTATAAAGGATACAAACACAAAGGTGTTTTTTCTTCTTAAAAATGTGCTTAAAGCATTAGCACTTGCAAAATTTTGTTTATTCAACAGGGTCTGATAACGGACACCTCTTGCTCTGAATTATTGCTCTGAATTATCAAAATGTCTGTGCTGTTGCCATCTTGAGTATGCTGTTCAGGTGTGTATCTGTAAGCTGCAAACCTACGATGACACAGCAGCAGCAGAACTGGAAGAAGAAGCAGAAGAGCCACCTGTGGATAGTAGCCGGAACTGCAGCCAACACAGAGCCACACGCCAAAGACGAGACCTGCCGGAAGAAGCTGCTCGGGAAGATCGGCTCCAGAAAGGGCACCAGGACGCCAATATCTGAAGCCGCGGAAGGAAGCCGGATGACAACTAGCCCGGGGTGCTGGTAGGCAGTCACCACCCTGTAGACAATGTGGCCCTAGTCAGGTTAATTGGTTGGTTAGAACCACTATGTAAACCGCCCAGAGACCCTTCGGGGTCAGGGCGGTATATAAGTCAAAGATATAAATAAAAAATAAAAATAAAAAAGACAGCCAGTTCCATTGTTGGCCTGAAAGAAGCCCTCCGGGGTAGTTGAACAGAATACTATCTAATGATCATGAGTTTTAAAGGAGATGCAGTGAAGGTGACAAATAAGCCTATGATTCTCTTCTCTGAATCTAAAGCGGTTTACATTGTGTTCCATTGTGATTCAGACTTCTTCAAGCTATTGGGCTCCGTCTCTGTTCCTATCATGGTCCTTGCGCCTTGGTCATTGTACCTTTGAATTTTACTGTTTTGGGGAGAAGGTATCTATACCTCTTGACAAAGGTTTTGTCGAGTGAAGAGATAAACACCTGGAGTGGCCATTTCTCACGCCTTCATTCCATTCAGCTGCATTTGTCTTTGTCAGCTTTATACTTTATAGAGTTTGTCGTTCATATTGTGTTAAATATACCTGTAATTTCTTGTGGAATCACTGTAACGCTTTAGAACATTCACGTTCACTTACATGTGATTGTTACGAACCTCCAGGTGGTGGCGGGAGGACCCCCCCCCCCAGAATTACAACTGAACTCAAGACAGCAGAGATCTGTCTCCCTGGAGGAAATGGCTGCTTTTGAGGGTGGACTCTGTGGCATTA